TCGTACAATCACCTCAGTGTTCGGATGTTTATGCTTTGCTAAAAGACACTCTGGTCGACAAGATAAGAGTGACGAAAAGGAACGTCGATGCATTTTTATGGGCTTTCCTCATAATAAAAAAGGATGGCGTGCCATAGTTGAATGATAATATTTTTTCGTGTCTAGAGATGTTGTTTTCTAAAAAACATTTTTTATTACTCAGAAGATACAGACTCGGCTTCCACATTTCCTAATGTCGTTGCACCACCGATTATACATCCTGCTGATGAGTTTATTCAAGTTCGGATTGCACCGACGATTGAAGATAGGGGGAGCCCTTCTTCTCCTGTGACATTGTCTATACCATCCTCTGAAGCTGCCACACATGAGTCTGACTCTGTTTCTGTTTTGCTGATATTCATGCCTTTGATCTTGGTACAGAACCGCTTGGACACGGACACAGAGAATGCAAAAGATCCGTTCTTCTCGAGCGGTACCATACTTACCTAACGCGTTGTGATAAAACCCTCATCTCTCTTTGCAACGACTCCTCTCCAGAATCTTCAGGTACCTGTTTCTATCCTTTAGCACACTATGTTTCTTGTGACAAGTTTAGTTATGCGCATCAACCTTTTCTTGCAGCAGTAACTCTTGTTGATGAACCTATTACTTACAAACAAGCTGATTAACACCTTGAATGGGCTGAAGCTATGAGAAAAGAGATCGATGTGTTGGAACAAAATGAAACTTGTACTCTTGAACGTTTACCACTAGGTGTCAAGGCTCTCGGCTCCAAGTGGGTCTACCACCTAAAATTTAATTTTGATGGCACCCTTGAACGTTACAAAGCTCGGCTGGTTTAATTATCAAAAGGAAGGTGTGGATTTTTCTGAAACTTTCACACCTCTGGTTAAGATGTAGACAGTTCGAGTTCTCCTTAGTGTTGCTGCGATTAAAAACTGGGAATTGCACCAAATGGATGTTATAATGCATTCCTCCATGGTGATCTTGACGAAGACATTTACATGAAACCTCCACTGGGGTTTCTATCAGATGATCCATCTCTTGTTTGCAAATTGAAGAAGTCTATTTATGGTCTCCATCAAGCTCCTCGATGATGGTTTTGTAAACTCTCTACGTCTCTGGAAGAATGTGGCTTTGTATGTTCTTATAAAGATCACTCTTTGTTCGCCTATACTTGTGGTTCGGTGGTGCTTCATGTCCTGATTTATGTTGACAATCTGATAATCTCTGGCAATGATTTGGCTGTCATTACTTCCTTTAAGGCTTATATCAGTCGATGTTTTAAGATGAAAGATCTTGGTTTGTTGAAATAGTTCCTCGGCATTGAATTTGCTCGTGGTCCTGACGGTATTTTCATTTCTCAATAGAAATAATGTCTTGACATTATCGATGAATGTAGTCTCTCTGGTGTTTGGCCTGTTGATACGCCTCTTGAACAACATCACAAGCTTCTCTCGTCTACTAGTAAACTACGTACATTCAGTTCCGGATCAGTTCCGTCATCTAGTCTTGTTTATCTTACGCACATTCGACCCGAACTCAGCTACGCAGCCAACATTCTTACTCAGTTTATGCAAACTCCTCTTGAGGATCATTGGAAGGCTGCTCAACAGTTGATTCGTTATTTAAAGAATGCACCAGGACAGGGTATTGTTCTCTCCTTGAAGTCTTCTCTTCAAGTCAATGCATTTTGCGACTCAGACTACAATTCTTGTCCCATTACTCGTCGGTCGTTTACTGGTTACATGGTTATGATTGGTGATTTGCCTGTTAACTGGAAGACAAAGAAACAAGAACGGGTCTCTCTTTCCTCGATGGAGGCAGAATATCATGCTATGGATAAAGTGCAAAGAAGTTATTTGGTTACAGGAGGTCCTCACATTTCTTGGTGTCTCTCATCCCTTGCCTATGTGTCTTTATTGCGACAATCAGTGTGCGATGAACATTGCTGCGAATTTGGTGTTTCATGAGCATACTAAGCATATTGAAGGAAATTGTCATTTTATTCGGGATGAAATTATAGTTGGAACGCTTGCAATTTTTACATTTCTACTACTGAACAACGGGTGGATATTTTCACGAAACCTCTTGGACAGAACCAGTTTTAGTACTTACGGTCTAAGCTGGGTGTTATTAACTTACATGCTCCATCTTGAAGGGGAGTGTTACGGAAAAAGAATTTTCCTATTTAATAGTTAGCATATATTATATGTATATTCTCTATACTTGCTCTACAAGTTTTATGTAACAATAAATACTCTTCATATGTTAATAATAAACACACACATTCACCTAAGATTTACATGGTCTAGAATATGTCAAGGGTTTGGAAAGGTGAGTCACTCCCTCTTTAAGCCCATTGCGACTTAAGAAGTTAGGATGCTTATGCACCTAACGTTAAGTAGGGCATGACCCACACATTTTTATAGGGGCTTAAGTGGGATGGATACGGCCGTTACATTGTCATCTTGGTTGCATGGTTGACGTAATGGAAAATTTTAAAATAGATTAGTGATCTTTTCATTTTGAGATCATATCATAATAGTATGATAAATCACAATATTATATATGTAGTATGAAAAAGCAAGTAATCGTAATTGTATTGCTCCGTTCTATTTTAGTAAGAGTAGAAATTATGATTAACCGGAAATTAGCTCGCTGGGAAAGAAAAATCGAGCACGACCAACTCTTTTACTTGCTTTGATGATTATCAGCCATATATTTTGATTTAACTCTACGAATTTCATGTAAATGCTTAAGTACATTTGCAAAAGAAACGTGATATGACGTCTGAACTATGGGCTAAACTACCCTGCGAATAGGTGGTCGCCTATTCTTGAAGAGGTCATGAGATTCCTTATTCAGTTTTCAATCTAAGACATTCTATAAGTTTGCTTACAATATTGAAGGGATTAACTAGCTTTTGACTATCACCATTTCTGTGAAACAGTTGGCTATGCTTGAAATTCTTGAAAGAAGAGAGATTGAAGCATTACAGGATAGAGCTCACACCACACAAAAGACATAGAAGAAAAGAAATTTCTTGTTGTTCTTCCTTTTGGTATGAAGTTGTTTTTGTATCTGTATCTATCAAATCTATCTAGCCGACGATACTATTCCCCAAAACAAAAATAAATTAAGAATGGGAAATAATATGGTTTGCATATTAATTACGATAATGAAGAAACGGATTCTTCATGAGGATATACACAAAAAGCGGTCACATGGAGAATGCCATTGGGATGTTTACATCTTTTAAATTTTAATTTTTACTAATTAAAATTGGAGGACAGGTAGGTTTGTTTGTTTATCTCGGATTGCGTATATCATTTTAAGTTATGATGTCATCACGCACCAAATTTATATGGGAGATGATCATCATTGCAACACATGCATAGTGATACCGAAAGCAATGGTGAGGTTATCAGCGGGTAGAGTCCTTTCCTTGCTGGAGCCAACTCCATTTTTCTCGGGAGAGAAGCTATTTCTTTTTTACTATGAAAAAAGTTTAAAATTTTTTGAGAACCTTACGGTTTTTCCACCAAAAGCAAGTGATTTGAAGTCACCTTGTAGTTTGTCTGCTTCAACTACCAAGGTATTGTTTTGATTTCTTTTACATATGTTGCAATGATCTAAGGTAAAGCTTTTTAGGGCCTTTTGACATGTGAGAATTATTGACTATTTTAGTTGACATAGGACAATTTTCAGTAGTAATCTGTCTTTGACAAACGATGTTTTTTTAATGACTACATCAGAGACTATCAGCTTCAACCTGAAAAGCAAAAGCTTGGATATCACCTTATAAAGATATTGGTATGTAATCAGAGATAGAAAAGGCCCATGAGTTTTTGGGAACCAAGGTAAGGATTGTTGAGTTGGTAGCTTTAGGCATTAGAGGTGAAAAAGTGAGAAACTCATTTGATGAAGTCATATCCTAAGATGCCCTAAGCAATAGTTAGGTGATTAGAAGATAGCCTTCAGGTCCAGGGGCCTTATTTGGGTTCATGAACCTTACCTTCGAGGTGATCTCAGTTTTTGAGGGGAGACACACTATATAATTCTTCAAAGAAGAGCTGCACTTGGATATGAAAGAGTGCGGACAAGCCTTGTGTTGCAAGAAGCTGGAGGAAGAGAAGAAGTTCCAAAACTCTCCTGAGCCAGTGGTTATAACTCCCTCATATTGGGTTCAAGGAGTTACGTAATTCGGTGATAATAAGAAAGAAGGTAGTGTCTGGTCACCAGTCTTGAGCCAGATTATGCGAGATCTACTTAAAGTACTCTTCTTCAATACATCTCGGGTTGGACCAATTCATGTATATTTTGAGAAAAAGTTCAGTAGACGGATCTTGGAGGGCTTGTACCTGCAATGTCTTCAACAAATTGTTAGTCTCTTTCACTCTTCTCTGGATATCAGAATAATAATCTCTACTTAGTGATTTTAAGCTTCTTTTTGATCTGTTAGCTTTGCGTTCAGTGAGGCCATGTCAGAGATTATAGCACCGGGTTGAGTCCAAGTAATTCCACCGTAGTAGAGAAATGAGGGTGCTTAGTTAAGAAATTGAATAATTTGAAGGGTTTGGTTCCCGAGTAGGGCAGAGGAGAAGCAAAGTAAGAAAGGGGCCTAAAACGTAGGCTATGTATTAGCAATCCTATCTCGATAATCAACTATCTATTCAGTATTAACCATCATTATATTCTACCTTTGTAATATAACTAATCTTCATATTTCTAATTATAATTTTGGATATTTTAATTATTTCAAATCCAAATATAACTAATATTTTCATTTTTCAGGTATACAGTTACATTCAAATATTGCAGATAGTCATTGGTTTTTTGGTTTTTTTGTTTGATTCCAATATCCAATTTTTTTTTTTTTAAAGGAACCATTCAGATATCTTTGACTATCCGAAACAAACCGAACATCCGAATTCAGTTCAGTTTATGCAGTTTAAGTTATTTCCGCACACCTTAGCCAGACTTTCAAATAAAATTACCATTTTTTTCTTCAATTAAACTCTCTTATTTTTAGCATACACATAAAACTTATAATTCCTGGTACTCGTACAAAGAAGAATAACTGAATAAGATAGACGTTATGCAAACTAAGGAGGGTAACATGCACGGAGTGCTAAGTTATTAACAGTCACTGATGTTTTCGAATTAGTGTCGACGTTTACCAACATGACCAACACCCTCTCCAGCAATAACACCAATGGCACCACCTCCAGGACCGACATTACGACCATCACCACTTTTACCACCAGACCCACCAGCACCACTAGCACCACCATCACCACCAGCACCACTAGGACCCCCAAAACCACCAGCACCACTGGGACCACCAGCACCACTGGCACCACCAGCACCAGTGGCACCACCATCACCACTAACACCACCAGAACCACTAGCACCACCAGCATCAACACCACTATCACCATCAGCATTAGCATCACCAGCACCACTTGCACCACCAGCACCACTTGAACCACCAGCACCACTAGTACCACCAGTGCCACTAGCACTACTAGCAGCTCCAGCACCACTAGCACTACCAGCATTAGCACCACTAGCACCACCAGCACCACTTGCACCACCAGCACCAGTAGCACCACCAGCACCACTAGCACCACCAGCACCACCAGCACCACTTACACCTTCACCTTCTTCTGCAGCCTCCATAGCATTGATAACCTTACTACCACCAACGGCACCGCCTCCTCCATGTTTATCACATCGGCTTTTGCCACTGTCACGACCACATGTACTAGATAGTTTCCCCAACACTTGAGTTAACATCAGTAACACCATTACACATGCCATTACCCAGCCCCTTCTCACGAACATCCCCATACACTCTTACTCTCTCTCTCTCCCTTTCTCTTTTAATATACACACGAAAGCTCACTCTTATCTAGATTGTTTCCCAAACAATATAAGCTCGATCAGAACAAGCTTTCTATTACATAACATGGCGAGAAACTCAATTTATAGCCAAAATTCCACCAACAAGCACAAACACGTGTCCTCTAATCCCTGGTTCATGGAAAATATGAAACCCACTCAACACTCTTAAATCTTGTAAACGGATCCAGGCTCGTCGGTACGCACTATAGTTTTTTTGAAACAGTAACACTTTAAATAAAGCTGATAAAGATGATCAACTATTAAAGAAAACTCAAGCATTATTATTGTTGTATTCATGTAACGTCAACATGTTAAATAAAGCTGATAATAATAAATGGTGGTCACTTATAAAAAAACTCAAACGTTCTTCCTCTATTCATGTAACAGCAATTTTTCTTAGTGCAATATTAGAAGGATGTCAACGAAGGAGCATTTAATCCTCAACTTGTTAACCCCACTTTGCTAATGTAAGTCATGTTAATTGAACTGTCGCTAGCAACTATGTATATTCACGATACTTTCAGACATACCCAGCGACAACTTTATTCATTGGCGACAAGACAGAAAGGTGAGTGTAGGAGTGGCTGGTTTTTTGTGGTGATACCACCCACACCGGTGAAAGTAGTCGACGTCTTTTTTTCCACCACCGTATTTTTATTTGTCCCATTCATGTTTAATTTTTCGTCCTTCAAGGTGATAGTATACCTTGACGGAATAACACTATTGTATATCACAGCTGCTTGACCTTAAATAAGCATGCTTAGCAGCTTATGTGGGAACAGCCATCCAAAGATATCCCTGCTCCAGACAGCAATATCAAGTTTTTTTTTCCTTGGAATATGCACGTATAGTTTTTGATTTCAAGAATCTCAAGGCTTTTTTCCTTTTTACAAAAAAAAAAAAAATGAATTGTATACCCGTTTGTAACAATTGTCGTGCTGATTGCCTCGCTAAGAAGAAGACAAGAGCACATTTTCCCTTATGTAAGTCCGTCGGTCTTCCATAGAAGAGAGTCACTTTCCGAGAACCTAATAAAATGGTGCTTTTGATGTCAATTTTTTTTTCTTTTGATTTATAACATTCTAATAGCTCATCCTAATAGGAGTCATAGCCAGTTTAGTGAGCAGAGAAATAATAAAAGTAATGTTCGTAATGTTAAAATCTTTCGACACATATAATCTTGGTTGCATTTAGCATTTCGTAAAGTTCCATGACATATAACATTGTTTTGTTGGCTTCTATTTGTATTAGGAAGTATGTGAAACTTCACTTTAGCTTTATTATATCTATCTACTCCCGTAACATCTTAAACGTTGACACTCCTGGAAATTCCAACTGAGTCTTTGAATGGCACTCAAGATATTAATAAAGAAGCAGCAACCTTTGATCCGGCTCATCTACAATGGAGAACTTCTTAAGCAAAGTTTCAATGGAATGCAAGCATAGATCCAACTTGTGTTCTATGTAAAACATCCCTTTGAGATGAAGCAGCACTTGTTTTTCGAATGTCCTTACTCAGCTCAGATGTGGGAAGCTCTTGTCAAAGGAATCTTGAAGGAGAACTACGCAACTGACTGAGACCAATAGCTCTGCATCGTCAAGAACAGGGCTTATGACAAAATTGCATTGTTTGTGCTCAAATATACACTCCATGCAACTATCTACGGCTTGTGGAGGGAGAGAAACGCAAGGAAACACGGAGAAGAGCCTTCTCCACCGTTGATATTGATCAAGATTCTTGACAAAACAGTTCGGAACAGGCTAAGTACTATCAACTTAAGGGACGGAAGGATTATGAGAATGGTCTCATATTTTTGTTTGGAACTAGGAACTAATAGAAAGACTTTGTTTTTTATTTCAAAAACATGAAGCACCAGATGTAAAACAGATTTGATTGAATAAATTATACATTCATTCACAAAAAAAAGAGTTTCACTACTGGAAAACTAGGTGTTCAACTTTCTGCTAGAGAAAAATTCTGAGAGCTCTTGTTGGTGGCCTCAAACTCCATTTATTTTAATTTAGAACACTGCAGCTTCCTCAGCATCAAGTCTTCCTATTGTATACAAGCTCTTCAACTAGTTCTTTAAATTATTGGCGTTATAGGCAGCCGTTGAATATCACTGTGGCGTTTTACGCGGTGTTATATGCGGTCATTGGGTCAAGTCGGCTATAACACTGAGACATTGGATCATCAACGATGTTTATACTCGACTGTAGGGTCAAATCGGCTCAACACCAGGTCACAGGTTCATCATCGACATTTATACCGGTCCTAGGGCCAAATTGGTTTGACAGGAAATATTTTTTTTTGCTAACTTTTGATAAGAAATATATCATCACCACCATGGTAACTCCGATTGCTAAATCGAAAAACAAAGCACAAGGGTGAGAAGTGAAATAAAAAGAAGATTTTAAAGTCGAAAGGGCAAGAAAAACATTCTCAACACCAAAAGTTTAATGAACCCATAAATATTGTATGGCTGATGTTCCGATCTCCTTAGTCCGCGGGTTACTTGTCTCGTCCCCCATGGTTTATGTTCTTGAGATCTTTGACAAGATCAATAAAAATAAGCCATCCTCGACAGGAAATTTCAAAGTGATAATGCAATAGAACTTAGTATTATAAGAACAACTTTTCTTATTGATTTGGAAACTCTCTCAAAACCAAACCTTGCAACTAAGTCTTATGGAACAACTCTCCATAGACTCTGTTTATATAGATATTAGCTACCCCTAATTCTATATGATAAAGGAAATATAAAACCTTATCTAGATATTAAAATATATCTAAAACTTTATTTAATAAATCCTTATGTTTATCTCTTAGACAACTTTCTAAAGAGATAACTTCCTAAACAAGTTAGGAATTATCCAACAAAATTATCTCTTCTCAACGTCAACATTGGTGTTGATGACACCAGCAAATTCATCGTCTCTTTCAAAGGTCTTTAAGCAAATCAGCTCCGGCTCCGTCTTCGGTGCCATTGGAGACACGAAATGTATCTTTTGATTATAGCATCCCAGCTGCCAAAAATCTTGAAGGGTACCGACAAGCTGGTTCGCAACTCAATCACAGCTAGAAGACATAGGAAGCACTTCTGTGAGCTTATGTCCTTGTGGCTTCAGTGAGGATTTAAATTTACTCAAATCTTTGTTCCCTTGTTTTTTTTTTTTTTTTTTCATTTTTGCCAAGGTAACAATCTTTAGATAGTACAACTATTGGTCTATTGCAAAGCCTCAAACTTTCATTCCTTAGTGATACTTACATTCATAGCAAAAAAGTCTTTTGGTTATAACAGAATTTCATCACCTAAAACAAAAGCTTTTCGGTTTGAACTCTAGGAGATCCACTAACGAGTAACAAGGTAATTTGAAACCCACGCACAAATCTTCTTTAATAAACTAGCAAGTTTGCCTACTCAAATCTTCCAATTCGGTTTGATTCATTTGGTTCCCGGTAACTAAAATTACCATCAATTTATCAAATTAATATTTTCTTATTGTTAGCACAAAGATAAAACTTATCTCCTAGTACTAGTACAAAGAAGAATAAGATATACGTTATGCAAACAACGAATTAAGGAGGTAACGTGCATGGAGTGCTAAACTATTAACGGTCACTGATGTTTTCGAATTAGTGTCGACGTTTATCAACACCAGCAACACTTTATCCAGTAATAACACCAATGGCACCACCTCCAGCACCGATATTACGGCCAGCACTTATATTACGACTAGCACCACTTCCATCACCAGTTGCAACACCAGCACCATTAGCATTACTGGCACCACCAGCACCAATATTACGGCCAAGACTACTTCCATCACCACTTGCACCACCAGCACCACTAGTACCATTGGCACCACCAGCACCAATTTTACGGCCAAGACTACTCCCATCACCACTTGCACCACCAGCACCACTAGCACCACTGGCACCACCAGAACCACCAGCACCACTAGCACCACCAGAACCGCCAGCACCACTAGCACCCCCAGCACCACTAGGACCACCAGCACCGGTGGCACCACCATTACCACTGACACCACCAGCTCCACCAGTACTAACACCGCCAGCACCAGCACCACTAGCACCACCAGCACCACTTGCACCTCCAGCACCAGTAGCACCACCAGCACCACTAGCACCACCAGCACCACTGGCACCTCCAGCACCACCAGCACCACTAGCAGCACCAGCACCACCAGCACCACTGGCACCGCCAGCACCACCAGCACCACTAACATCTTCTACAGCAACATCCATACCATTGAAAATACTGACACCACCACCAGTACCGCCTTCTCCATCTCTATGGCATCGGCTTTTATCACTGCCACGACCACATGTACCAGATAGTTTTCCCAACACTAGAGTTAACATCAGTAACACCATCACACATGCCATTACACAACCTCATCACACATGCCATTACACAACCTCTTCTCAAGAACATCTCCATATAATCTTACTCTCTCTCTCCCTCTCTCTCTCTTAATAAACACACATAAACTCACTATGATAAAGATAGATTCCCAAACAATATAAGCTCGATCAGTACGAGCTAATTTAGTACATACCTTGGCGAGAAACTCAATTTATAGCAAAAACTCCAAGGATAAACACGTGTCCTCTAATCACTGTATCATGAAAAATATGAAAACCCACTCAACACTCTCAAATCTTGAAAACGTATCAAGGTTCGTCGTCGGTCCACATAGATATACAATATAATTTTCCTTAAGTAGTAACACATTAAATAAAGCTTGTAACGATGATCACTTATAAGAAAACTCATGCATTCTTGCTGTAGTCATGTAACATCAGCATGTTAAATAAAGCTTATAATTAATTGTGAACATGTAACAGCAATATTTTTTAGTGGAATATTAGAAGGATGTCAACGAAGGAACATTTAATCAACTTGTTAAGCGCAGTTTGTTAAGGTAAGTCCTGTCCTGTTCTTTGAACTGTCGCTAGTGACACAGTCCCGAACAGGCCTGTTCTAAAGTTGCATTGGAAGAAGAGGTGGTCATAATTTTCGAAAGAGGCCTGCCTGACTAATGCAAGAGGCAATCCGCTGGAAAATTTAGACCTCAACTTCTTAGACGGTCTATTATTGGTAATATGTGCTAAGCTCTGACACAATAAATACATGAGTGCCTAAGAATATAACGGGTGAACAAAACTGGTTCTTCATGGTGGTAGTGGGGTAGTTCCCTTCCTTGGTGAGAGTTTCCATGCTGGTCTAGGTAAGGGATGGATTCCTCACCGAAAGTGGAATTGCAACATTTAATCCATTTAACCTCCAGGCCCTAGGATTAGTCAGTGTTGAGGGATGATGTGCTGGTTTACAGTCAGAATTAAAAATTCAAAGCGATGCCACGACGGTTCTCTAACTCAACCGGATTACCTGAGTTATCAAAAAAAAACTGTCTTGTACCATTCCGCGAAACTTTCGAGATGACCAAAATACTCAAGTATATATGTGTGGATCGCACCAAGTTGTAAAACACGTGATAAACTGGGAAGGCATATATCAATGACTTAAATCGGTATTAACAAGAGATCCCGCTCCTGCTTGACCGAGAAAGCATGTTACAGCATTAATTTCTCTCACTACTTCACAAGTAATCACTCACAAGTCTAAAAATATCAGAGTTTATTCCTAAAGATCAAATCCAAATGTCGTACAAAAGAAACAAACTTACCGATATAACTTCATAATAACCAACATCAAAAGTAACGTCATTAATTCTTTCAGAAAAAACGGTTACGTCTTAAACTTATATAAACAACAATTGATTGTTTTAAAATGATTAAATCAGAACCAAAATTGTGAACAGAGAAGGTGTGATTGACCGATCTTATCTACTCTTTTCCTCAACCTTTAGACCCTCCCATAATACCATTTTTCTTGTGATTGTTATTTTGGTCCTAAGTAGACTTTTCGAAAAGAAAGTCTTTACAGTTGCATAACACAAGATAAATTACATAAAAAGGTAGAAACAAAATATATGTTTCTGCAGCATTTCTCCGTACAAAAGCATTTTTAGTGCTAAGGAGTGATTGGTGAGAGCTGTGAGTGGTTGTACAGCATTAAAATTGAACCAATCAAGCTGTAGGTTAGTTTTGAAACTCATGATGACAGCGGTAACCTAACTTTTTTTGTTATTTGTGTTTTTGGTATTGGAAAGCAGATTTTCTAAAGCATTATTTCAAGTGCTTTGAGAATAAATTTCTCTTTCCAATGAAAATTACGTTTCTCTTTCTACGATAAAGTATAAATATAATCGATTTCTCGTATATATACACGTTCCACTAGAATATTACAACTACTACACATGATTATATATAGCGATTATATACATATATTTATTTACTTATTTCAGATAATAAAAATTTGTAATTCGATAATAAAATCTATTATATTAAAACAGAAGCACATTTAGTACTTGCTTCCAAACACTCCTAATTTTTTTTAAGTTTTTAAAAATAATTTTAATAATTATTTATATTTAATTTCGAAAATTAGTTATTTATTTAAATATTTTTAGAGTTCCTTAAATATAAGTAATTTAGATTTGATTTGATTTAGTTAAAAATAAAAAATCATATATTAATTTAGATTTGATTTAAAAATTCTAATTTAAATAATTTCTATAATATTAAACATTTTTATCAAAAATATGTAGAATTTTTGAAAAAAAATTAATTCACATATGAAAAATAATGGTCATATTTGAAATATAAAATACTTATAATGATGTAAATGATATGATATTTATGTTGCTTATATAATATATTTACGATTATGATTTATTTAAAAATTAATAATAAAATAATAGGTAAAATTTAAATGTATAATTTAAATATTAAAAATATATTTTTTAAAATTCATAGAACTAAAAATATATATAAAAACCGGGTTAAAAATATTTTGGTAACTAAAATCACTAATTTTGAATTATATATGTATATCGAAAATATAATTTTCATATAAAATAAAAATATAAAAAATTAAAAATTATTGCATACACTAAAATGTGGTTTGAAAAACCAGTTGTACACTCCCTTCATTGATTAAATTTTAGAAAACTATAATGCTAAATAATACTGTTAATACATTTCAAACTCTTAACAAATATTTATATTATATGGTAATATGAACAGAAAAGTTAGAATTATGTTTTTATAATAGTTCATTTTGAATTAATATTAGCGGACAAGTTAAAATTATATTTTTATAATCATAATTAATTTTAATACTATAAAAATATATCTAAATACAAAAATCAATATTTTCACTTATTAAAAAATATATTTATAAAAATAATTATATCTAAACTCAAAACACAAATTATATTACAAAATTCGTTAAACAATAAAAAATATTTCCGTGCGGATGCACGGGTTAGAATCTAGTTAGTCTTTAAAATTTGACTAATCAGTCTTGTTTCGTTTTCAAAATAATCACAACCAAATCTTATAGTTACCCTTGTTACAAAAAACATTTTTTATTTATTTTATAGTTATACCTAAATCCAACAATCCTATTCCTATAGAATCAAAAAAATTAATATAGATGATAACAATACTAATCTAGAAGTCAAGAACATATACCTAGTTTTTTGCGAATCATGCTTTCACTTTGAAAAATGTTAATCCAAAATCTTAAAAGCTACAGCAAAAAATAATAATCGACAGACTAAAATCTATAACAAAAAACCTAGAGCTGCGACAACTGTACCCAATCAGACCCATAATTGAAAAAAAAATAAAAATTGAGTGCTTTTTAGATATGAGTGTTAATTAATTCTAACTAGATTTTACCCCATGCATTCGCACGAAAATTTTTTTTTAATCAAAATTTATAATGTTATTTATGTTTTCTTTATAGATAAAATTTTTTAATAAATGACAAAGATTTATTTTTTTGTTTAGATATAATTTAATTTTTAATTTTTTCTACTATATTATGACCATGATCATAAAAACATAATTGTAAACCGATCATTCTATTAATCGAAAAAAATCGTTATTATAAAAATATATTTTTAACTCACCCATTCTATTAATCCGAAAAAACTGTAGTTACTAAACCAGAATTCTAACCCGTCCGTCATATTACTATATAATATAATTATTTACTAATTTTGAAATAATATTTATCTTATATCTTGCATGTTTTGAATATAAGACTGCAATTATAAAAAAAAAACTAATCCACCCATCAGATTACCATATAATATTAATATTTATTAGTTTTCAATATGTGAAATTTTACTCTGATTGAATATGATTAAACAATACAATAAGGTATTCCTTTAATCATATTTGTTTTTCTAAAAATATTATTTAAATTTTCAAAATGTTAAATTAAATCTGATCTATAATTGAAGAAGTATAAAATAATTTAAATTAATATCATTTTTTAGAATTAAATTTAATTATAAAAATAGTTTGAATTTAAATTAAATATGACCTAAATTTAAGGAAATCTTTAGTTATCTAAATTCATATCTAATTTTCGGATTTTTTTTAATATAAAAAAAGAAAATATGTTTTTAAATAATATTTTAATAATTTAGGATAATTTTAAAACTGTTTTTCAAAATATTTTTAAAAAAATTTTGAGAGTGTTTGGAAGCAAGTACTAAATGTGCTTCTGTTTTAATATAATATATGTAACTGTTTATTCATCGATTCTACTTGATCTCTTAATTCTAACTAACACGTATCAGTTTGTTTTAAACCTACACTAAAAACAATGATGTGATCACTAATTCTCTCAGCAAAGAATATAAGTCTTCGGTCGATTCGGCATCCACAACATCCACTAAAAAATAAAGATTTTTATCATTTTGTTGTTTAGATCAAGAAGATCATAGACATGGAGTACAATCCAAGAGAGTACAAGGAGGACACATAAGACTACAAGAAAATCTAAATGCAAAAAGAACACCCTCCCTCTAGCTTACTCTATATAACCCTGTAAGAAAGACTTTCAACACAATCCCTGTTTCAACTCTCTTAAAACACTAAAACCTCTTGCTACAAAAAAAAAACTGACTTAAAACAGTTTTTGACTTAAAGTTAACCTTTTTCAAATCTTTTTTATCAGATATGCCTTGAGCTCTTCATTTTTGTTTTTGACATTAATTTAACAGAGTTTACATAGGAGAAAACAAAACCACAGGCTCAAACCTTTTTCTCAAGAGAGTCAGCTCAGACATTTAGAATACGAGGAATATAAAAAATAAAGAAATGAACAAATGAAGACCTCAAGTGGTAAAACTCATCAATTTCTGAAGCCAAGGCAGACCATTCTTCTTCTTCCTCGATCACCTTGAACATTTGGAGACAATCTGATTTGAAAGACATCAACACTTCTCCTATCTTTAGGACAGATTCCATCGCCCATAGCATCATATTAAATTCAGCGT